CCACAGAAATAAACTCTCTCATCCTCCAAAACCAGGCAGCTGCCTTCATGCTCAGTATTGGGAATGATCCCTGGTGCCTACAGAGTCCTGAACCCTGTGCAGGTTATGGTGACTTGAAAAGCCCCAGCAAGACTGGATCAATCCAGTGATTATGCTCAGAACTGAGCGTAGAATCATAGAATAACAGTATCCTGAGTTGGAAAGGACCCACAAGGATCATTAAGGCCAACTCCTGGCCCTGTACAGGGCATGATGAAGCTACCAGTGCCCATGAGCAGGCCTTGAAATTGCCTAATTTACTAGTATAGGTATAAAGAAATATGGAAAGTAGTATTTGATGTACTCACTCCACTCCCAACAACTCCAGGTTGGGAAACTCTTCTTGACTGAACACAACCAATTCCTCCTTTCAGAGAAGCAAACCCTGGCTTGAAAATGGGAGAACATGCTGGAGAAGCCAGAAAGAAGTGTCTGGGGAAAGGAGGAGCTCAGAAAATTAACTCTGCTGAGTAGGTTGCAACTGATGCCTGCAGCACCTCACATGTCCCTTTGGCTTAGTAGGGCTTGTCAAGAGCAGGATGGCAATGGGTACAGCACCTTCCCAGGGTCTCATTAACCTCCTTCACTTCTCCCCAGACAACCTCACCTTGCCACGTGGGGTAGGTTGACCCTGGATGAATGCCAGTAGCCTACCAAGCTGCTCTATCACTCCCCTCCTCAGCAGGATGGTGTGGGGAGGCATAAAATATGATGGAAAAAAAACCCTTTATAGATTGAGATAAAGACAGTTTACTAAAGCAACAGTGAAGGTTGCACACAGGCAAGCAAAGGAAAAAACCCCCAAAGATTTCATTCTCTACTTCCCATCAGCAAGCAATGTCCAGATGTTTCCTGGGAAGCAGGGCTTCAGCACATGTGCTGGTTGATCCAGAAGGCAAACGTTGTAAAAAACTAATGGGTCCCCCTTTCTCCTCCCTTCTCTTAGCTTTTTTATCTGAGTGATGTCATGTGGGGTGGAAGATCCCTTTGGTCAGTTTGGGTCAGCTGTTGGTTATGTCCCCTCCCAGGATCTTTCCCTCCTGGTGGGAGCAGAATGTTGGGGAGACAGCACTGATGTTGTGGGAGCACTGCCCAGTGGTAGCCAAAACACTGGGGTGTTTCCAACTCCTTTTCTAGCTCCAAATGCAAAGCACAGCACTGTGAGGGCTGCTGTGGGGAAAACTGGTTCCATCTGAGCCAGACTCAGTCACAGAATCACATTGAAGATCATCAAGTTCAACCATCAATGCAGGACCACTGTGTTCACCCCCAAACCATGTCCACAACTGCTATATCCGTGCTTTTTGAACACCTCCAGGGAAGGTGATTCCACCACTGCCCTGGGCAGCTGTGCCAGGGCTGGACAAGCTTTTCAGTGAAGAATTTTTCCCTAATATCCAATCTAAACCTCTCCTGGCACAACTTGAGGCTGTTCCCTCTTGTCCTGTCCCTTGTTCCCTGCAGAAGAGCCTGACCCTTCCCTGTCTCCCATCTCCTGTCAGGGAGTTGCAGAGAGCCAGAAGTTCCCCCCTGAGCCTCCTTTTCTCCAGGCTGAACCCCCCCAGCTCTCTCAGCCTCTCCTGGTGCTCCAGCCCCTTCCCCAGCTCTGTTCCCTTCCCTGGACACGCTCCAGCCCCTCAGTGTCTTGTTATGAGGGGCCCAGAATTGACCTCAGGATCTGAGGTGTGGCCTCACCAGGGTGTCCACACAGGGGGACAATCACTTCCCTGGTCACACCACTGCTGGTACAAGCCAGGTGCCATTGACCTGCTTGGCCAGCTGGGCACACTTGGGCTTGTGTTCAGAATTCCACCATGGCACTACAGGAGCATGTTATGACCTTGGTGTCGTGGTATCAACTGTGTGGGTGGACACCACCTCCCTCATAATCCCGTGGCACCAACCTTCTCCCTGGTGCTCCCTCCTGGAAGGAGAGGGGTGGGATGCAGCACATTATCCATCCGACAGCTCACTCTCCTGCCACCTCCTCCACAGGCTCACTATTGCAAGGGGCCATTGGCCTTGAGCACTGGAGGGTGTTCACGGATAAAAAGCCCCCTTCTCAGAAGGGAGGAAACAAGGATGTGGAACTGCTTGGCTGGAAGGCTGGGAGAGGAGGCTGCCTGAACATCTCCTGAAAACGAGGTTATGTGAGGCCAGATCTCAGCTGGAGCGAGCTGGCATCCACAGGGCTCCAGCAATTTACACCAGCTGCGGCTTTGGCCCGCTTTTTTAATTTTAATGAATTATTTTCCTTCTGAAAGATCTAAGAGCAATATAAGATGCGGCGCTCAGGCGACGGGGGAGCGTGAAAGTAAAACGCCGTCTATTTAAAAAAATCAAACTTGCAGTTCCCATCACCACCAGCGTGCTCAGGATCAACATTTGTTAGTGCTTGTTTTCTTGGTTATAATGTCACAAGCTTTAGTGATGAGGATTCACAGAGGGATTATTGCTGTCACTAGTTTGAGTATCAAAGTAGTAACTTCAGGGTCCCACCCAGGTGCTGATACATCGCAGCTTCATCTGGCTGCTCCCATGGCATCAAACTCCTCCAGAACAAGGGGCTGCATCCAAACTATCTCTAGGGAAGGGCTCATGGCCTGGAGTAATCCTCAAAGCATGCAGGACTTATTCACACGACTAATGGTTTTGTTGTGCCAAAACCAGGCTGGGGACTATTGCTGAACTGGAAAGATCACTTTCCATCTCAAAAGCAAGAATGGAATCCTTATTTCTACACAAGCCCTTCCTCTAATCCAGCCTCTTCACAGGTCATCCCAAGCACATACAACTACAATCTCTCAGCATTTTGATGACTTTCATCCTGATTTTCAGAACTGAGATTCTCAGAGCTTTCTGACATCTTGCCACTTTTTGGGATTTCGTCATATGGTTTATACCTAAAAGTGAACAAAATGCAACAAGAAGTGTATTCATCAAGTTCCAGTCTTTCTGCCTTGCACTTTCTGCTCTCTGTTGCTCAGTAAACATCCTTCAGTGTAAAGCTACCCCTTATCTACTTAATTGTTTCTACCAGCTCCTATTAAACTGTTAATAATCTCCATTCTGTGCCTCGTCTTACTTATTGGAGGAGAATGTTGCTGAACACAAAATAAGCTTATTCCATGCCTTTAAGGCACTTAAATGCATGGCATGACATCACCCAGGAGTTGTGCAGACCAGTAGGCCATGGAGGACTCTGAACACAGAATTGTAGGATAGAATCATAGAATAGAACCACTGAACCATTAATGTTGGAAAAGACCTCCAAGATTGAGTCCAACCTGTGACCAATCACCACCTTGTCAACCAGCTCAAAGCACTGAGTGCCATGTCCAGTCATTCCTCAAAAACTTCCAGGGATGGGGACTGCAATGCCTGAACCACCCTTTCAGTGAAGAAACTCTTTCTGAGAGGGAGTTTATCATCATCCTGGTGCCAAACCTGGAACTCCAATATGAGACTTTATCCACCTCCCCACTCATCACAACATCACTGTGATCCAGCATCAGGCTTTGGAGTCACTCACGACAAGATCACACAACAGCCATTTCATCAAGGTGACAAAATTGCATTACTTGGCCCATATTAACATTTTTGAGTTAAACTGTACCCCAGTTTACTGCATCAATCTCTTCTCATGTTTTCTAGCACCCAGACATGCCTCTTGGCTCCTTATGTCCTTATCCCTGCTTGAAAACTTAGTGAGTGAGAATCTTGAAAGCCTTAGCCAAAATTTTAATGGATTAAATTTTAGTTTTAAAGCCAAAGGATGGTGTCAAGTCAGACTTTTGGAATACCCCTAATTCAGAGGTACAATAAGCAGCAAGTTAAAAAATTCTGGTCTTCATGTTAATTAAAAACCCCCATTCTTTAAATGCGCGTATTTGAGAGAGGACGATACTTGAATGTCCCTTTATACCAGAAACTCTTGCTTTTTGCAAAATACTATTTGCAACTGAAATACCTACTTGAAAGAATGATAGTCCCAGTCCTCTGCTGCATGGGAGAAACTGTTATAATTTCATATTCTAAGCCAGTTTAAAGCTGTTTTAAAGCACAGATGGCTTTACTAGACACCAACCGCAAAAGAGGCAGCTGATTTATAAAACTTATGCTGGGAAGGATCATATCATGGAATAATTTAGATTGGAAGGGGGTTTTAGAGGTGTCTGGATCGAGGCTCATGGTCTTGTGCAACTGAGTTTTGAAAATCTCAAAGGATGGAGACTCCACAGCCCCTCTGGGCAACCTGTGCCAGCACTTAACCACGGTCACTGCAGACTCAGAGAATCCTTCAGGTTGGAAAAGACCTCAAGGCGTTGAGTTCAACCATCAACCCAGCACCACCACCCTATGCACCACTAAACCATGTCCTCAAGTGCCACATCCACTCTTTTTTGAACACTTCCAGGGACAGTGAAAAGATTTTCAGCCCAAGATCACTTTCAGTATTTGAAGGAAGTCTCCAAATCAGCCCCTCCTTGGAAAGAATCAATTCCATCAAATAGTTGAGGGAGATAATAAAATCACGATGCTGTAGGATTTTTAGGATCTGGTTCCCACAGCTTTGGTATGTGCAGGCTGATTTAACTCATGGCTGATAATCTGGGGGCTCTGATACACAAAACGGGGTGCTCTGATAATTTCAGAGTAGTGTCCTCAGCAGCTGAATGGGACATACACCTGTATGACCTTCTCTGGGGCATCGCTCATGGTCTTTGTCTAAATCCTTTTTTACTGATGGTTTAAGCAGATATTTGGGGCTGTGAGACCACAGGCAGGGCTGCAGGTGTGATTTCATCCTGCTGACAGGCACTGTGGCCATCACCTCCAGCAGATGCACAGGGTACAAAAGTGGGGCAAGGGCATCACTGCAGATAAAGCTCCAGAGGCCAAAGGTGCTTGAGCTGCTCATCCCTGTGTTGCTCAGTCTGGGGGATGTTTCTGGTGTTTACCTTTGGGGCTCCTCTCCTTTCCCAGCTGCAGAGTAATTTTCTCTGACTCACAGGCTGAAAGATCACAACTAAAAGGAGAGAAACAAATCATAAGGCTCTGATTTGCCAAACTTTCCCAAATCTGGTAGTTACTGAGCTATCCACGCTCAGCCAGAGCCTGGTCACTATTTCTTTGTTTGCAAAAACAGTCATGAAAGTTCTATTGGAATATTCATTACAACCCCAATTTTGGAAGCAGCCAGGCAGCCTCTCCTTGCTGCATCCCCGTGGGCTGTGGGGTTCCCCTTGATATCCACGTTGCAGAATCCCTATTCCCAGATCTTTGCTCAGTAAATCAATACAGAATCAGAGAATAGCTTTCTGGCGGGAGCTCTCATTGTTTCGAGCCAGGCTCGTAGAAACCATGTTTATGATTTCACTTGCCAATTATTTTGCGAGATGTAGAGCTCCAAAATAGAAAAACAAGCCCCAAGATCTCTCCAGCACCGGGGTATGAATGCCCTTTTTTGATTTTAATGTGGGAAGCATCTCCGTGCTGCTCAAAGGAGCGGAGTGGCTGGAGAGGGTGCCCCAGTGATGGGTGCTGCACAGACATGTCCCAGCATCCATCACATGTGGGATGGTCTCACGTCCTAGCACTGAGCCCAATGCTCTCTTTTATCACAGATTCCCCCCCCTCAAATTAGTTATGAATACTTAAACCCCAGTCCCTTCCCTATTTTGCACACACTTATTTACTTAAAGGATACTCCGACACCTACTGCTATTGCCTCCGGCTAAGCCTTCTGTTTTAAATCAAAGCTGTTAAATAGCTTTACACAGAGAGGAGGAACTTGGTCTCAGACTGAATTTTTCCTTCAAGTGTGTTTGCAAAAATAGGGTTTAATGTCAGGGCTCTCCTTTTGGAAATAAAACTGTTCCCAGTCCAGTAAGTCCTACAGGAACAGAGGAAAACCTTGAAAATAAAGTGGAGGGCTTTTGATTCACTTGTCTTGGCTCCAAGCAAGGGAAGTTTCAGGGAAAATCCAAAGAAATGCCTGAGGGCTCCCAAAACATGAGTGTTCAAGCGTATGATGTTCATAGACACGTGGGAATAGTCGCCTTGCCCTTTGAATAGGATGGGCCATTTTACAGCATTTAACCCAGATGGTCTTGAGAAGTGATTTGGCATCGTGTGGACCCACCAGAGCCACAGGATATCTCAGGAGAGGAGAATTTGGCATTGCTCTGGGATACCAGTCAAAGGCAGGGACACATCTTCATCTCCTCACGGTTCTCTGCAAGCCTCCAAGATCTGTCAGTGGAGGATGCAGAGCAGGAGAAGGGAAAGTCATGTCTTTTACCAGCAGTGAGTCCTTTGGAGATGGAGACACACTGGTTTTCTCTTCTAGGGGTTTTCCACATACTGAGGAATTTAACAAACCAGTTTGGGGTCATGAGTCCAATGATCTGAGCAGATACTGCAGACTGCCTGTGGTCTAAACCCTTAGAAACTGATGTGAACCCCAGAGCCAAAGAGTAACACAACTGGGAGCTTATTCCTTCCCTCAGAGGGAAACATTTCCTATTTCCAGGCTCTGGCTGCTGGGGAAGACAAGAGGGTTGTGTCTCTCACTGGGAGATCAGGGAACTGATTTGGATTCTAGGAGAGCATTCACTACATTTACAGTATTTACTCTCTCCATGGCCATCAAGGTCACTGATGCTGAAGCAGCGCCTGAAATCACCAGACAAGACTTTTCCATGCAGCACAATCTCTCCTAACCCCCATGAACAGTGGCTTTGTGGAGCTGAGGAGGTGGATGCTCCAGGAGTTTTTTAACAGAAAAACACCAGCCAGGAGGAGTTTTGGGGCGGGAAGGATTCTGCTTAGGAAAAGGGGAGCTGGTTCTTGAGGACCTAGTGGAGCTGCAAAGAGCTGCTGCAGAGCTGCCAGGGTCAGAGCTGTGGCTCGCCGCCAGCTGCAGCGAGCCCTCCCCGCCGCTTCCATCCATCCCTCCCTGGCACACACCGCGGCAGAGCAAAGCACCAGGACTCCCAGAAAATCCTCGGGATGCTGCTCAGGGATGCCTGAGTCCACCCCGGCCTTTCAAGGGACCGTCACGGCCCTGGGACTGCACATTCAGCGGCACATCCCCGGCTCCTCCGTGCTCCAGAGGCATCCCTGGAGCAAAGCTCCCGCCGCGGCGGCTTTGCGGGAGGGGGCTGAGGCTGTCGCCTGCGTTTTGCCACCCCTTTGAGGAGAAGGAGCTAAAAATTGGGTGAGCGCCTGTGAAATCCTAGAAGAGCAGCCTCAGATCAGGGCTATTTTTAGCTCCACAGAAGCTGCGCATACATTAGTAAGGGCTTGCCTTCCTTCCCCGGGCTCGAAGAAATCACACGGTGTCCTCCCAGCCTGCCAGGAGAGAGTTTAACCCTTGTTGTCTCTCCACAGTCAGCCCCATCCAGCTGCACCTCGATATGGGCCCTGATGGGGGCCAGAAAAAGGGACAGAAAGGTCTTCATGGGCATTTTGGCTCTAGTCAGGTGGAGGAAGAATTAGAGGGGACCTTTGCCCCATGGCCCTTATATCTGGTGTCTGGTGAAAGAAGCAGAGACTGGAAGGAAACTCCAGCACAGAAATGGCATCTTACTCCCATCACCATCAGCCCTGGCTGAGGAACTGCCACACCAAGGGGTGAGAGGGGCAGGGGGGAGTTCGGAGCTTGCAGGACCTGAGTTGATGCCTCATCTCCAATGACCTCTTGTAATGGCCAAGATGGATTCCCTTCATGAACTGCCACCTTCAATGCACCCACTGTAGAATCACAGAATGGTTGGGATTGGAAGGGAATTTAAAGCTTGTCCCATTCCAACCCCTTGTCATGTTCAGGGACACCTACTAGACCAGGTTGCTCCAAGCCCCTCTAACCCGGCCTTGAGCACTTCTAGGCATGACGAAGTAAAGCACCATGAGGTATTTAATACAAATCTGCAATCCTTTGGCCATGTTTTCCTGGGAAACGACCTCATCACCACATTTCCAGATGCTTGGTGTCACATCTCCTTCCCCCCACCGGCTGTGTCTCCTGTGCTCCAGACACATCACGCCAGGAAAACCATGGCTTGGACCCATAAAGGGAATGAGGCCAGGGATGAGCTCACCGGCCTTCCAGCACAAAATTAACAAAAAATAATTGCAACATTTATCCCTACTTTTTATTTTTTTTTTCCCTCCAGGATGAGGAGCAAACCCTGCACGAGGTGCCCGTGGACGCTCCCCGCGCTTCGCACCCACAGCGCCCGCCAGCCCCGCTGCCCGTGCACTTTAACATTTCCCAGCTCTTTAATATTTATTACCTCTGCTGCTCCGTATTACTCATCAGCTATTCCTGGCCAGAGGAAATGCACTGGTGGGTTCTGAAGCGTGGATGGAGGTTCTCTGTTTTTTGGGGGGGGCCCTTGGTGAGGCAGCACCTCACAAACAGACACACGCTGCTCCGCACTTGGCCTGTACCATCTCCTGGGACTTTGGAGAATCAAAAGAGCCTCACAGTGGCTTTTCAAAGGCCACCAGAATGTGTTAAGCCACCAGGAGAGGACACACAGCCTTTTTGGAAGGTATAGAAACCCTTGCCTCAGCTGATCCCTGCAGAAACATCCCTTTCCCCCTTGGAAGTTCACCTGAACATCCTTCCCTGCTTCACCTGCAGTGATTTTACAAGCCTCCTCCCAGCCCCGTGATTAAAATTAACCATGAGCCTGGTAGCAGCTTTGCCTACTTGCAGGATTTCTCCCAGCTGCTGGGGGCTGCCAGTAAGGATACATGTAATAAAATGAAGCAGGTCAAGGTATGCAGGAACCTATGGATGGCTGCAATTGCAGTTGTTAAGACTGATTTTAAATAATATGACAAACAGGACTACTTTCTAGTGACCACATCCAGGAGAAGAACCAGTCCAGGCACAGTATTACCCACTACTTCAGCATTTTTTCTTTTTTCCTTTTCTCCTACTAATTTTAAAGGAGCTTGCTGTTTGAAGCTTAATAAAAGTGAAGCCACCTGACCACGTCCTCGCTCCACCACCCTCTGGGCACAGCTGAGTCTTCCCGTGCCAGCAGACAGTTTATCCAAGTGACACAAATGCGGTCACAGGAGCTTTCCACCAGCAAACAGCATCTGGGAGGCGAGGTATGGAATCCTGCAGCTCAGCCCAGGGGATGGATGTTCATGCACAGTTAGGTGCAGAAATGGAGGCAGGGAGGTTAAATGACTTCCCCCGAGCTAGGGGTGATTGGTGGGTTTTAATTTAGAACAGAATGGAACGGAATGGAATAGAATAGAGTGTTTCAGTTGTAAGGGACCATCTAGCCCAACCACCACTTTGGGAGGTCCTTGTCTCCCTGTCCCTGCTGGATGGGCTCCTTTTGGAAGTGCAAGGTGCCTAATCCAAAGGAAAAGAAAGCCTTTTGTTTTCACACACGTCCTTTTGACCTCCTGCTACTCAAAATGCTTCCCGGGCCCATTCGGATGCCTCCTGCATTCCTGTTCCAGCCCAGGCAGCTTCCCTGCACTGCACAGAGGATGTTTGCATTAACATTGACTATGGTAAATGCTTGGACGAGATATATCCCAGAAGCACCAATAAACTGCCGGACTCATTGATCCAGGCGTGACTCAGGAGTCACCACGGAATAATCTCTTTCGGCACCTTCCTCTGGCTGAGCCCGGGCAGAGTTTCTGCTCCCATCAGCAAAGCAGTCGAGGTCTCTTCCATCTTGCACTTCTCCAGGGGAAGGCCAGCTTAAATGACACGTGGGGGCTATTGATTTCCGTAATGAATGAATGGATTTTCCCCTCCTGTGCTCACACCCCCCTCCCTCTCCCATGGAATAATTCAGCGCCTCTGTCATTTACTGCCCAAATGCCTCTCCGAAGTGCAAACATGCAGCCTTTCCCTGCTGGCATTGTGTGCTGTCTCCAAAGCCCTGACCTTGGCTCCACTGTTTTCTCCTGCCTTCTCCCTCCAGGAGGGATGATTTACACTCGTGCAGCGAGGCAAAGATCCCAGGCAATGGAGAACATGGAAGTTTTCCTCCCCAGAAGGAAGGTGTGTGGCGAGAGCAGTTGGGTACTCTGAGATTGTGTGTCCATGCAGAACTGGATGGGAAAGGTGGTGCAGCTGCCTGTTGGGATGGATTTGGAATAGATTCCCACACTCCAGGGATCTGCTCCTAAACAGGAGCAGAACAGATGTTTTGGTTGTTGAGGATCTGAAGGAAGTTCAGCTGGGGAGGTTGCAGTTATGGGTTGAAGAAAAAGAACCCTGGTGTACATTGGGCTCAGCCGAGAAGTTGTGGGTGCCCCATCCTTGGAAGTGTTCAAGGCCTGGTTGGACAGGACTTGGAGCAACTTGGTCTAGTGGAAGGTGTCCCTGCCCATGGCAGGGGGGTTGGAACAAGATGGTGTTTAAGGTCCCTTCCAACCACCCTGTGAGTCTGTAATTCTGTGAGGAAGAGTCTCACTGTGAGCCCAAAATGTCCTTACTCGCTGCCCTCCCCAGCTCCTCCCCAGGTAACCCCCTCCCACCACGTGCTTATCCCCAGCCAGGTGTCTGTACCTTACCTGAAGCGCCACAGCCACTCTCCTGCTTTTGGGACCCTTCTTTCCCATCACCCCACCTTCAAGGGGCCTGTTCTCCTGTGACCTGCTGCTGGTGGCTGTTGGCCATGGCTTAGGGAATGGCTCTGAGCAGAGGGACGTGCCCCCTGTGCATGTGTCCAAAGGGGTCCCGTAGCAGGCACAGTGCCCAGGGGCAGCCTGACACTGTCTGTCAGCCCTCCTACCTCTACAGGTCCTGCCTGGCCCTTCACAGGAGTCAGGACCTCCAACACCATCACAGGATGCAGCATCAGTCACCTCCTACATTTGCAGAGAAGATGTTGGAGGGACCTGCCAGGAGCAACTGGTTTGAAAAAGCTCTGAGAGATGGCACCACAATATAAAAAAGACATTAAGCTGTTAGAGAGTGTCCAAAGGAGGGCCACAGAGATGGTGAAGGGTCTGGAGGGGAAGCCTTGTGAGGAGTGGCTGAGGTCACTTGGGTCTGTTCAGGCTGGACAAGAAGAAGCTGAGGGGAAACCTCATCAGGGTCTTCAACATCCTCGTGAGGGGCAGCAGAGTGGCAGATACAGATCTCTTCACTCTCATGACCAGGGATAGGACTCAAGGGAACAGTGTGAAACTGAGTCAGGAGTTGTTTAGGTTGGATATCAGGAAAAGGTTCTTCCCCCAGGGGGTGGTTGGGCACTGAACAATCTCCCCAGGGCAGTGGTCACGGCCCCAAGGCTGCCAGAGCTCAAAGAGTGTTTGGACAACGCTCTCAGGGACAAGGTGGGATTGTTGGGGTGTCCTGTGCAGGGCCAGGAGTTGGACTCGGTGATCCTCGTGGGTCCCTCCCAACTCAGCACATTCTATGATTCCTTCTATTATTGTATGTCCTCCCCATAAACCTGTGATCACAGAGCTCAGCATCCAACCTGCCACTGTAGGGAGCTGGGATTTGACACAACCCTTGCACTACAAACTCTGAATCTGACTCAGGTTGCCCTTTGCCTCCAAAGCCAAGCCCTGACTGGTTAAAAAATTTGCAGCTGGTTGTAAGCATCTCAGCCCAGGACAGAAATCCTTCAAATCCTAATCTAAAACATCAGGTGTTTGAGCCCCCAGAGCAGGTAAGTTATGGTACAGACACAGGAGGGCCCATCCAACACCAGGGACTGGTGTGGGCCACCAAAAGATTCATCATTTCCTCTTCCATCCTCCCCTGCCTCCAACACACCATCCCACATGCTGCCCCAGGCCTCAGCACCCAACTAGGAACAGTCCCTGTGTGCCCGCTCTTGCCACCCAGGAGAGTGGGGGAAAACAAACCCCTTCTTGTGGGTTCAAACCCCTTCCTGTGGGTTCAAACCCCTTCCTGTGGGTTCAAACCCATTTTTGTGGGTTCAAATCCCTTCTTTTGTATTCCAACTTCCTCTTGTGGGTTCAAACCTCCTCTTGTAGGTTTAAACCCCTTTCTGTGGGTTCAAACTTCCCCTTAGGCATTCAAACCCCTTCTTGTAGGTTCAAACCCCTTCCTGTGTGTTCAAACCCCATCCTGCAGGTTCAAACCTCTTCTTGTGAGTTCAAACCCCTTTTTATCAGTTCAAACTCTTCTTGTGTATTCAAATCTCTCCTTGAGTGTGCAAACTTCCTCTTGTAGGTTCAAACTCCTTCCTGTCACTTCAAACCTCTTCCTGTGGGTTCAAACTCTTTCTTGTAGGTTAAAACCCCTTCTTTTGTGTTCAAATCCTTCCTTTTGGGTTCAAATCCCTTTTTATTGGTTCAAATCACTCCCTGTGTGTTCAAATCCCCTTTTTGTGGGTCCAAACCTCTTTCTGTGGGTTCAAACCCCTCCTTTACCAGACGTGAAGGAAGGGCTTGACCTTGGCCATCGAGCATCTCAGGCAAACCCATCCACCACCCCGAGCCAAGCGAGGAGACAAAGCTCTCAGATTCCCGTGTTGGGGCTGCAGTGCAGGATATCCAACACTTAAACACCTCCTGAGACATGGCAGCGTGTCAGGAAGACTCTTGTCTGCTGGCTCGAAGGGTGGCCCGGGGAGGATATTGCCGGGGCTCAATTCCCTGCAGCCGGAAACGCTTCCTGAGCCGCGCGGGGTGGCCGGGAGCCAGCGGGCCCGGTTACCAACGTGGGATCATGAGGACACTCTGCTGGAAAGAGGATGCTGCAGCCTTGAGTCATCTCCAAGCTTTGGAGAGAATTAAACTTCCACCTTCCACCCCCCCCCTCCCCCTTGCCTGCGTGTCCTGCCGCTTGAGGTGACGGCTAAAAGCAGGATGCCAATCTTGCGCTTTTTAAGGCAGATTTGGGAATGGATGCCTCCCCCTGTCTTTCCTCACACCACCTATTTCTCTGTATGAATATTTTGTGCCAAATGTTTCCCCTCTCTGATACCCCTAAACCTCTGGGGTGCAGTAGGGGTTTGCTCCAGCTTTTTTGTGAAGCTCAAGTAAGTTCATGTGACTAAGAATCTTTTCTGGAACCACCAGAGTAGATCCAAGTCTCCTCAAACGGGATTCCCTTTCTTACTTCAGCTGTTCAAAAGTGGGAAAGCTGATCCAAACTCATCATCTCGGTTCCATCTTTTATCAAAGACAGATTCCCAGAAAGCCACTCATCCCATCCCAATATAAGTGTCTACAACACCTCCTACGGATTTCCTGTCTCCTTCCCTTGACTACAGAAGGGTCCAGACGACTGACTGCGAGCTGATGGCTGATACCAGATGTCTCCCATCTCCTTGGCATCGCTTCCCTATCACATGCCTCTCATCTCCCTGCTGTCATTTTGATATGTCACTTCGAGGAATCACTTCTACTTCCCCCACGGAAAATATCTGGGG